TAATCAAAGCCCTATGGAGCAGACTCACAGACTGACTAGAATATGAGTCAGGCTAGTGTAATATAGTTCAAAACTAACATTACATAATTTAGGCTCATGAAAAATTTGGTAAACTACACATGTGTATGAATGTAAACCATTGCTTTCATTTCAAATGTATTTTGTATACACTATGTGGCTAAGTATGTGGACACCTCACTGACTTCACAACTTCTGCCTAACTTTAAATCTAGACTCCCCCCAATCAAGATGTTTGATGGGCTGGTGACCGGCTGAGGACACGGCTCTATATGTGCTGTCAATGATCAGGAGAAGCAGTGGATTGAGGAAGCAACAGTTGCTAAAACTAACTCACACCTACAGGCATCAGATCCAGGGAAACCTGAGCGGAGTTGACAGCTTGGCCTGCCTGTGTGGACTCCTCTTGAGCTGGTCCTTCTGCCAGTCAAACACCATCATGGCCTGTGGACATTGACACTCTGGAAATATTTTATAAAAGATTGTTTCCTACCATACATTCTCTCACAGTTGTAAGTCCTATAAAACTTGAAAATAAATGAAAATTTGATTTTTCACAGAAGCCAGGTAGTTTATTTATTATACTTATTATATCACACATTTGACATATTTATTATTATAGTTTGTAGGCCCTTCATGCTACACACACAGAACTCACTTTCCTAGTGATCTGAATGACTTGCTACCAGTGTTGTGTGTAACGTAACTACTTTTTCAGGTAAAAAGTAGTGTAACACGTTACTACTGAAAACTTGGTAACGAAACGTAGTTCCTTTTTCAATTCGACGCAACGTTACTTTTCCCAGGGACAGATTTGACAGCGATTTCCATCTCAGTAGTGAATGCTTACCAGAACTGCACATAATGGATTACATAATCAGAGAGTAGTAGGGATGCACGATATTGGATTTTGGCCGATATTCGATATGCCGATATTTTCAAACTAATTTTGCCCGATACCGATATATTTGTATTTTTTTTAAGTAAAAGCTTATTAAAGCTTCTATTAAAGTTCTCAGTCAAGAGCAGTGAGTGATTTCCTCTTTGTGTTTTGTTGTTTTATTAACATTAAAGGGATAGTTCTCCCAAAAAATTAAATTGTCATCATTTACTCTCTCAAGTTTCTTTCTTCTGTTGAAAATAAAAGTTATTTGGAAGAATGTGGCTTACCAAACAGTTGCTGTACTCCAGTGACTTCCATAGTATATTTAAGCACAAGAAAGAAATGAATACAGGTTTGGAACAACATTAGAGTGAGTAAATAATGACAGAATTTTTTATTTCTGGGTGCAGTTTCTCTTTAAGGACAAGTGGCAGCTTATTATTACTGTCTCTTTAATGGTGTGTTCAGCGTGAAATACGCGTCTAGTTAGACGCTTGAACATTCGTTCGAGTTCAAATTTTTCAACCTGCGCGGAAGACATTCGCGGCAAACGCGTCGCCCAATTCGCGCCATTCGCAACGCCCGACGCGAATGATGCATCTATTCGCGTCTTTGCATTGACTTTGTATGTAATCTACTCGCGCAAATAATTAAATTCGCATTCGGTGTGAACACACCATAAGAACTGCACGCGACGCGTCTAATATACACGCATTTGACAAGCAGATTTTCTCTGTTTGCTTTCACTGTAGACATAACCAACTTTCTTTATGTAAACCTTGTGTGTATTTGACAGTATCAGCGCAATAAGACTGGAAAGATTAGTCCAGTATGCAGGCGCTGTGACGGCTTTAGTTCCTGTGAGCGTCGGGTGTACGCGCTCAGAAAAGCGGATGTTAGAACAGCGCATCAGCACGTGAATGACATGTTTAATTAGCAAGACTTTGACGCACATGCAAATAATGAACTTTTGTGAATTGCAGTGTCCCGTGAGTGTAACTCTACCTCTGCGTTTACATCATGTGATGTGATGTGAATGTACGTCGCGTTGTACAGTATGTTGAGATGAAGGTGCCAGAATTGAATGAAATCAAGGCAATTGGTTGATAAATGTATTAAAATTAAGATACTATTTATACAAAACGAAATTCACTTTAAAGGTGCATTGCGCAACATTTCATGTTAAAAATAGCTGTTTTTTAACCTATGCATGCTTAAACAATTGCCTGATGGGCTGAATGAGCCCTTCTCTGATCACTGCGATTGCCTCTATAATCCTGTACAGTAAAATAAATAAGAGGGATTCGGGCCGGAATGTGAGACTGGCGTGACGTCATGCGCGTTCACGCTCACCTGGCTATGTCTGGCAGGTTTGTGTATTCGCCGCCATTCTCCGTATCAGCGAAGACAACTCAAGCGACAAAACTTTAGTCAACTTTCCACAAAAGTAGAAGATGGATTCTAAGAGACCGGCTTGTAGTTCATTCCAAACCCCATCGCAAACTCCACGTAAGACAAAGAAAATAAAACTTGTGTCTAGTGCCACCAAAAGGGCCAAATTGGAGTCAGACAGGCGTCGGAATAAGACGAGAGTCAACCTCGGGAAGGCTTTCAACAAATGGAGAGATCTCCGGTCTGTGTTGGGGAATTTCATTTGTCTCATACATGTCTCATACATGGGTCTGAATATAAAATGCTGTAATGCTAGAGAAAACCAGGTCTGAATCTGTGATGTCTATACTAGAGAAAACTAGGCCTGAATACATGGAGAGATGTTAAAAAAGCGCATGCGCTAAGGTCTTGCCACCAATAAGAAAAAGGCATTGATGCGGTTAAACTTTCTGTCAAAATTATGGATGATGACCTTTGATCTTGTTCCGCCCCTTGCGGTTAAACTTTCTGTCAAAATGATGGTGACAGTTAGTTTAATCGTTTGAAGTTAGTTTGATAAGAAAAAGGGGAGTGTGACAGATAGTTTGAGATGTTTTGGCTTTGATGGTGACAATTAGTTTGATCAAGAAAAAGGGGAGTATGACAGTTAGTTTGATCGTTTGAAGTTAGTTTGGCGACAGGCCAAAGAGGAGTAAGTAGAAAAAGATAACTGTATGAGCGTTAATTGGACACCTGATAAGAAAAAGGTATAAGACCTGAGCGCTGGCCCTTGTGAAGTCAGATGGCCAGCTGGCATCTCACTTTGTTGAACTGCTCAATAAAGTTATTCTTCTGAGACCTGAAACTTCGACTCTGAAAGATTTCTTCTGAGACCTGAACCAGACTTTGAAGACTTGAACCAAAGATTGAGAATTTGCCACGACATCTGCTCTAGGGCTCAAACGGGATCCTATACAAAGTAATAACTTATATTCTTCATGAACGTGTTTCCATAATAATACAATCATAAGTGGATACAGTAAGCACATAAAAATGTTCAACATGGAGATAGATGGAAACAAAAACCGAAGTTTTCTACTACCCCCGTTTTCCCCTCACACACACATCAGTGTGTAATTTACTCAAATGCCTTTCCTTTCATATATTTAAAATGACTTGTGCGGCTGATGCTCCTTTGGTTATGAACAGCTCGTGCAAGCGTGTGTGTGGTCTATGAGCGTGCACACCTCTGGTTGCAGTTTCGCTTGTCGCCACAGGGGGCGTAGTTCTGCAAAAACTCAGAGACTTGCACAATGCACCTTTTAAAGAAAGGCTTTCTTCAAAACAAAACTTAATGAAGTGGTCATATCATGTCTGACCCACTCAGTGTCCCCGATATATTACACATCCATCTTACTCGCGCTGTTCACTTTTCATAATCAACATAGATGGAAAAAAATAACACAATAATATTTTAACAAATATGAAGCTAAATGCGCATAACGTATAGTAGGCCTAGACTCTCTATTTGTACAAAATGCTGCACATTCATTTAATTCTGAATTTTGCACACATAAGTTAAAAGGCATTTGTTTATGTGCATAGTAAAACATATGTGCAACATTTTTCAAGTTCACGGATAATTGTGCGTGCATTTATTAATCATTATGATACTAAAATCATAATAAAGTAGGCTATTCTATGTACAAAAAATCAGATGAGCCCAGAATATGAACCCAACGTGTTTAATTACGGTACACGTTAAGCATTTTCCTACCATAGAAAACCATTATACAGTAAGAACGCTTAATGTGGCTTAATGCAGATTAGAATGTCCCCTTATTATGTCGAAATAAGATAAGTTTTCTTTTTTTTTCTTCACCATGCGGATCAGGACTTCCATAGAATACAGCCTGAATATAATTGCTTCCAGAAATCATTTTTTGGGGTGCTAACGGGGAGCTTTGGTCTTTCTGGGGGCTTTCATTCTAGCCCCTCCCTAGCGCCGCCCATGCATATCCATTAACGGGCATTTCTTCATAAATATTCAAGATTTGTATAAATGTATTATGCATTTATGGCATTATGCATAGTAGAACTTTATGTAGCCCTACACATTTAGGAACAGATATTGGGTTCTGCCCAAATATGTCTGACGCATGGTCAAGGACCCTTGAAAGAGGTGTACCCTTGGCGTTGTTTTTCGACACGGCAGTCCATCATATAGATTATTTAAATAATAATAATGGAATATACTTTTTAGCACCAATTTATGTATCTGTTGGCCAATCATCCATCATCAGCGATGCTGTCACTGTTTGCGACCCTTTGCTGACAGTATCATTGCGCTTCTGGCCTGAACTGTAAGTGGCTTCCAAAATAAACCGTGAATTAGAAATGATATAACAATGACACATGAGAAATTATCGATTATGCTAATATGTTGTTATGTTTGCTGACACTGTCTAAAGGGGGTATTCACAACGACAGGTAGGCCTATATGCCCCAAGTGTCTTTAACACGTGCTTTCTGACCCACAACATGCAATTTGCCAACTGTTTAATGGGTAAAGAATAGATTTTAGTATTAAATGTTAGGTTATGATTGGGGTTGCCTACTGTGCGCGCCGGCGCTATTGTTATGTGCCAGGCTTTTTGCCTGTGAAATCTCTTCATCTGTTCTCTGTTAAAAATATATATCATGTCTACCTGATTGTGTGTGTGTGTAGATTTCAAAATGACTCGAAGGAAGTTCAAGCCTTGCCCCTCCTGCCAAGCACCTAACCAGGTAAGAGGAAAGTGGAATAGAGCATTATGTCCAATATTAAAATATGTGGTTTTAATGTTCTACATTTCTCATTAGTAGGACACTAAACTATGCTTCTACTAAATGACCCTGTATGATATCTGTACTGTGTTACAAAACAGTGATAATGTAAGTTGTCTGGGTTGATGCCAATTTTGATTGCTTGTTTTGCACCAAACGCCATAGGCAACTTTCATTAGAGTAGCCTGGGTGTCTCCTACATCTGCCACTTTCACTGTATGATTATAATAATAATAATAATCCTGTGTCAATCTAGAGACGCATATTCTGAATAGCATTGAGCTTCGTGTGTTCCTCTTTCCTGTATACAGCCAAATTAAACTGTATCTTGATTGTACTTCTTCTCTGTGACTGTGGATCTGATGTCTCACTTTGGTATACTTTTACCAACACAGGTGAGCCGCAAAACCTGCAGCTCTTGTTTCACAACCATCTCCAATAAAACCAAACTAATGGCCAAAAAAGTGTCCCTGGACAGGGAGTGGGGGGAAAGGATCCTAAAAAATAGAAATGCAGGAAGAGTGGTGGACTCTGCCAATATTGCAGTAAGTAGAAATGCTCATATTTCATTAAGCAATATGATTTGTTTCACTTTCATTAATATTGTGTGATAGGGCAAGGACCTCATTTTACAAAAATACGTTTAATCTGTCAGTGAATGAATTTGAGGTAGTCATGGCATCAGTGTAACATATTATTTTAATTAATTTGTCATTTGCTTGACATGCATACATGCATTTGTTTACAAATACAACCGGCTACATAGTAAATATAAACTTGCTTTAGTACCACACAGACGCTATGCGTGTTATTGAAGTCTCTGTCTCTGCTAAAGGCAAATCACAGAATACAGACCCAGCGTAATGTATGTACAGTGCCAAGAATAAGTTTAGACCCCCGTGCTAAAGTTGCCTAAAAAGAGGAATAAAAAATCATCTTTTGGAAATTGATCGAAATGCCTTAATTACAAAAATGAGGAAAACGTCTCGGGTTATGACTATAACCCTTGTTCCCTGAGAAGGGAACGAGACACTGCGTCGAGAATTCGACTTTGAGGACGCTCCCTAAGTGTGCGCCTCTGAAGTATGAATGAAACTATTCCAATCCTGATTGGTGTTGCGTCGTGACGTAACATGTGACGGCATACCCGGAAGTATAAAAGTGACGCTGTCACAACACATACCACACGATGAAGCAAGACGCTCTAAGGCCTCAAGGGGCGTGGCAGAACGACGCAGTGTCTCGTTCCTTTCTCAGGGAACAAGGGTTATAGTCAAAACCCGAGACGTTCCCTTTCGAGGGAACTCTACACTGCGTCGAGAATTCGACTTTGGGGAACGAATGCCCACTAGGCCACGCACCGAATAGGCCTGTCCCGGAGTGAAACTGTTTTAGGCACTCAGCAAGGACTAAGTACGTGTGCACCAGGCGTACTGGGAAGGTGAAGACTGTAGAACCGAATAAAAGTGTGTGGAGTAGCCCAGCCGGCTGCCTCACAGATCTCCTGCAGGGGCACTCCCGAAAGAAGGGCCCTAGAGGAAGCCATACCTCTAGTAGAATGAGCCCTAACAGCTAAAGGTGAAGGCATATCGCGCACGCTGTAAGCTGAAGTAATCGCCTCAACGATCCAATTACTAATCGTTTGCTTTGATGCCGGGAGCCCCTTCTTAGGTGACCCAAAACACACCAATAATTGGTCCGACCTTCTCCAAGAAGAGGACCTCTCGAGGTACACGCTCAAGGCTCTGACAGGGCAGAGTAAATGGAGCTTCTCTTCTTCTGCCGACACATGAGGTGGAGGATGAAATGCCTGAAGGACTGTAGATCGAGCCCTATTAGTTGGTACTTTAGGCACGTAGCCCGGACTTGAAGAAATTCCAGAACTGAAGCCACCGGGCAGTTGACTGGATCTAACTCATGTTCCCTACACCAAGTGACAAACACATTCCACTTGAGGCCATTTAATCTCCTAGTAGATGGAGCCCTAGAGCTAAGTATGGTTTCAACCACCCTGGCTGATAGACCAGCATTTAGGTACTGAACCCCCTCAGAGGCCAGACCCACAGCTTCCACAGCTCCGGGTGAGGGTGGAAGATTGTGCCCTCCGCCTAAGACAACAGATCCCTCCTCAGAGGAATCTGCCATGGCGGAGCTATCAGGAGTGATATTATGTCTGAAAACCATACTCGGGTCGGCCACATTGGGGCAACCAGAAGTAGACTGATGCCCTCTTGACGGACCCTCTCCAGGACTCCCGGAAGCAGAGCGATCGGGGGAAATGCGTACAGGCGAAGCCTCGGCCAAGCCTGTACCATGGCATCCAACCCCAGTGGGGCTGGATGTGAGAGGGAGAACCAAAGTGGGCAGTGGGACGTCTCTCGAGACGCGAATAGATCCACTTCCATTGGTCCAAACCTCTCCCATATCAACTTCACCACATCTGGATGGAAGTCTCCATTCCCCGGGCCTCAGCCCCTGCCTCGACAGGATGTCTGCTCCCTGATTCTGAACCCCCGGAATATACATTGCCCTGATGGACCGTATTTTCCCTTGGGACCAAATAATAATCTGATGCGCCAGTCTGCACAGAGGGCGCTATCTGAGTCCCCCTTGTCGGTTCAGATAGGCTACTACTGACGTATTGTCTGATCGTACTAGGACATGGTAACCTTTGATGTCTGGGAGGAAGCTCCTCAAAGCCCTGAACACAGCCATCATCTCTAGACAGTTTATGTGCCAAGATAGATGATGGTCCTGCCACAGACCCCTGGCAAAGCGGCCGTCCATGACCGCGCCCCAGCCAGTAAGGGATGCGTCTGTCGAAACGATTTTTCGGCAACATGACGCTCCCAACACTGGCCCTTGGGACAGGAACCAAGGTTTCTTCCATATTTGTAGAGAACGGAGGCATCTGCGCGTAAACTCTGATCATACAAAATGGATTCCCCTTGGGAGAAAACCCCTTGGCTTTTAGCCACCACTGAAGAGGCCTCATATGTAGCAGGCCCAAAGGAATGATGTTGGATGCCGCTGCCATGAGGCCCAGCATTCTTTGAAATTGCTTTACAGTGATGGCCTGACCTAGCTTTACTCTTGAAACCATAGATAGGATGGACTGGACACGTGCGGGAGACCTAAAAAGACCCAGCGGGGGGTGCTTTTCTTAATTCAGCAACATCCTCAGGTGTTGGCCCCTCCCCCTCATCTAAATCTTTAAGGATATCGGCCTGGTACGCCTGCAAGATAGCCATTGAGTGCAGGGACGCACCAGCCCGACCAGCCGCCATATAATCCCTGCTCACCAATGCAGAGGTGTCCCTACATGGTTTGCTGGGCAGCGCCGGGGTTTTAAGTGAGGATGCCGCTTCGGGAGAAAGATCGCTCGCTAAAGCTTCCTCCACCCGCGGCATCCTGCCATACCCCATATATCACAGGATGTGTTGTGTGATATGCGAGACGAGTGGGGCTTTTCCCAGGATCTCGTTATTTCTCTATGGAGATCTGGGGAAAAAAGGCAAACCCCGGCACTGAGGTTGTGACCGGTGCTGCAGGAATCTCTCGTCTAATTTACTCTGACGAGTCTCATCCTGCTTATCTTGTGGCCAGCTGATGTTGAGTTTGACCACCGCACGCGTCACAACCTCCACCAACTCCTCATAAGCGGTAACATGAGCTGGCGAGTGTGACTCATGTTCCGTGCTCCCGATGCTGAGCACATCCACTTCCTCGGAAGCGGATAGCTCAAGCACCGGGCACTCGTCGCGGGCAGAAGAAGCCGCAGCGCAGGCTTCTACACCGTGAGTGAGTGTTAGAGAATCCGCAGATGATGAACGAGAAAGTGCCTCGGCAGTCTCGTTCTCATCTGCGAGATCTTTTTGCGATCCCCACGATCTAAGCCTCCGCGCCGCCTCAACGGACACGGGACCTGAACCGCAAGGATCGCGAGCTTGGCCATCTTTGGAAAAAATAGCCAAGCGGGAGCGCAGCACTCTTAGTGGAAATGCTTCACAGTGTGTACAGGGATCACTCCCTCGAGAGCTGCCTGTGTGTGCTGCACTCCCAAACAATTTACACATAATAAATGTGTGTCCCCACCCGTAATATATCTGGGGCAGGGGTGCACACATCTAGTAAATTGCTCACTCGCCATATAAATCTTTCACTCAAGACAAACATAGTAAATAGGACAGTTTCAAACATAGAGCGCTTGCTGAAGAGCGATAGCTGGTGTGTGTTGTGACAGCGTCACTTTTATACTTCCGTGTATGCCATCACATGTTACGTCACGACGCAACACCAATCAGGATTGGAATAGTTTCATTCATACTTCAGAGGTGCACGCTTAGGGAGCGTCCCCAAAGTCGAATTCTCGACGCAGTGTAGAGTTCCCTCGAAAGGGAACTCCAACCTTTAAGGACACCAAGTTTCTTTGTGAATGATTAATGTATCGTAAATAAATAAATGTTCTTCCTTAGAATTAAGGGTGCATAAGTCAGGAGTCAGGACACCCCCATGTTAAATCCCAATAGAGTCAGGCAGATTTTTACTTTTAAAGGCCAGTTATTTCATGGATCCAGGATACTATGCATCCTGATAAAGTTCCCTTGGCCTTTGGGATTAAAATAATCCCACATCATCACACACCCTAGAGATATTTAATCTTTCTGAGGCTAGCTTGTGTACACAGAGCGCTGCGAGTCTGACAGGAGGATGGCTGGACCAATCGCATGCTGCTCAGTCGAAACGGGGCTTCCCATTGACAAATGATCATCGTTTGTGTACATTTCTAAGCTTTTTGATTGGTTCTATACAACGTGTAACACCATATTTGGAGAGCAGAGATAGTGAGGTTTCAGGGGATACCTGGGAAATGCTCAGAGGTGACCAGAGGAGTTGAGAAAAGCAATGTTCATTTCCAGCTAATTTAGTAAAACTTAGTACATTTTAATAGTCATTTAAATATCTTTACTCAATTATCTGGATTATGAAACTTTGGGAGATTATCTTTGAAGACTGTTCTTTGAAATTAGCAACAATCTTTACTAATTTACTAAAGGCCATATCTTAAAACGCAACTTTGCGACTTCCGACTCATTTCGCCAGAGCGGATCACATTACATGAATATTGGTTGTATAGAGCAGGGGTTCTCAAAGTGTTTGTGCCAAGGACCCTTTGTGTGGGAGAACAATTTCCAAGGACCCCCTCAATCAAAACAATTCAGCATATGCTTTCTACCATTTGTATACTGTGGTGCCATTTCTATTCTTCATTTCATGAAGTTGAGTCCGGGTTCACTATTCCGTGTTTTCTAGCTGGTGTGTAACTTGGTCTTTAGTCAACTTTTGATTTTGAATCACTTAATGATGTGGACTGACTCAAACATTTATCTACGTTCATCATCTTAATGCCAAGTAAGCCAAGCTAAGCAGCAGGAAGAACGGTTCATCATGACCTGAGTGAAGTGATTCACAACAGATTGACTTGATTTGTCATAATCACAAAAAAGTTCAATGTTAATGTTTTAATTTATTAGTGCATTTATAATCAATATTGTACATGTAGATTCTAGATCATTACATCGTCATTGATAAGCATTTCTTAATGATAAAGCACAACTTTCTCATTTAAAGCAAATCCACTTTGAGAACCACTGGTATAAAGTATAAATGTAATGTTATTTTTAAGGGGAAAAGCTGTTAAGGTTGATAATGTTAATTGTGTACCTGTATATTAGAACCAGTAACACTAATGTATTATGAATTTTTTTTTTACAATATTTCAATACGGTGGAAAATAATGCAGTGGGAATAACTAATGTTGGCTGTCTGCATTTATTTATTACAGGTGAAAAAACTAAGTGCATTGGGCTATGTCCCAATTCTTTTTTTTGGAAAAAAAGATAAGGCTTCTGGAAAGTGGGTGGCCGATGTGGTGACCCATCTGCCACCCACTGAGGATAATCTAAAAATTGTGGCCACCATGAGAATGGCCTACAATTTTGTATTGATCAAACAAGGTAGGATTTGTGTAATTTAAGTCATGACCGTTTTAAACAGTTTTTTTTTAATGATTGGGAAATATCGAAAATCAACATACACATACAATATTCTAGGGAACTCCACAACGACATTACCAGAGCCCCAACATCAGGGCCAGCCCGAGCCCCAGCATCAGCATCAGGGCCAGCCAGAGCCCCAGCCCCAACATCAGGGCCAGCCCGAGCCCCAGCATACGCATCAGGGCCAGCCAGAGCCAGAGCCCCAGCATCAGCATCAGGGCCAGCCAGAGCCCCAGCATCAGCATCAGGGCCAGCCAGAGCCCCAGCATCAGCATCAGGGCCAGCCTGAGCCCCAGCCCCGGCATCAGGGCCAGCCAGAGCCCCAGCCTGTCTCTCTCCCTGTGAAGGAACAAACCCCCCCCCAAAATAAAAGAAAGTGTAAGTGAACTATGATCTTGGCACACTATGTATGAATTTCCCCTTTTTGTAATCATTATTCATGAAATACAGAAATCTTCAGGTGGATTCAAGTCCAGTCAATTAGTTAATAGTGAGTAATTTTTCAGTGGCCAGTCTAATACACAAAGGAGTTTGTCCTCGCATATATACCTTTCAGTACTGTACTGTCACAGTGTCTGGTTTATGTTCCCTAATGTCCACTAGAGCAGGGTTTCTCAACCGGTGGGTCGCGACCCACAAGTGGGTCGTTGATAATTCTGTAGGGGGTCGCAAGACTTCAGTGTTCACTAGCACAGCCAATCAGTGGGCTTCACAATAGGCTCATTGCAATACGTGCAAGTGCAACAAAATAATCCGTTAGTAAACGCATTGGCGGCTCAATCGGACTAAAAAGCCTTAACAACACCTAATCATATAAATGCGCACAGATTGAAACAAAAGTTGTAAACATAGCCAGTCCTCCAACGAATCTGATTTTCGAATGTCGTACTGTCTTCATTATTGCCGTGGCTTCTAACGCTGTATTTCAACTATCCTATAAAAATAATTTATTATTGCCACGAAAGGCTCTTATTGGACAAGGTCATACTCTATTTACATAATGTTACTAGCCCTACCTGCTATGCCAGACCTTATTATTAAATTATACGCAGCCACGGTCTGTTAGCTTGACAAAATGCATCCGTTTTTTAAAAGAAAAAAAGCAGAAGGTTCGGAAACTCCTTCAACTTCAAAGGCAGCAAAATGTAAACAATGCAAGTACAACCCGGACTATATTAAATATGGATTTACTTCTTCGGATGAAAAACCACAGTGTGTCGAGTGTGGTGAGGTCTTGGCAAATGAGTCCATGAAGCCATCCAAACTTGAACGTCACCTACAGACTAAACATCCAACATGTGTGGGTAAACCTGTGGATTACTTTGTACGAAAGCGAGACCTACTTAAAAGACAGCAAAGTAGTATTGTGTCGCTCACAATAGCTTCAAAAAGCACCCTGAAGGCAAGTTATCTGGCAGCTGGCCATATCGCCCGTGCTAAGAAATCGTTTAATATTGGTGAAGAGCTAGTTATCCCATGTGCAGTTGACATGTGCCGCGAGGTACTAGGGGAAAGTGCTGCTAGCAAAATAAAAGAAATCCCACTCTCCAACGACACTGTCTCCAGACGGATTATAGACATGAGCGTCCATATTGAAACGCAACTTTTGGATCGAGTGCGAGCAAGCCCCTTGTTTGCCATTCAAATCGACGAATCAACAGATATTTCAAAGATGGCATTATTGCTTGCATTTGTACGCTACAACTGCGAAGGTGCAACACATGAGGATCTACTGATGTGTAATGAGCTCTCGACACGGACGACAGCAGATGAGTGTTTCAATTGTCTTGATGACTATTTCACAAAGAATGGCCTGGTTTGGAAAAATTGCGTAGGTATTTGCACGGATGGCGCGGCCGCAATGACTGGCAAACATAGTGGTGTTGTGAGAAAAATTTTGGACAGAGCACCCGAGGCGACGTGGGTTCACTGCTTTTTACACCGTGAAAGCCTTGCAGCCAAAGAAATGCCAGTGCCCTTAAATGAGGTAATGGACATTGCTGTCAAAACAATTAATTTAGTGAAGAACAGTGCTCTCAGTTCCCGCTTGTTTTCAATTTTGTGCGACCAGCTGGAATCAGACCACCGCCAGTTGTTATATCAGAGTGAAATTAGGTGGCTCTCGCGAGGAAAAGCTCTTAATCGTCTTTTCGAAATGCGCAAGCAGGTGCACACATTTCTGGAGGAGAAACGGTCTCCCCTGGCAAAGCATTATACGGAGCCTGAATTTCTCGGGAAACTGGCATACATGTCCGATATCTTTGACCAGCTAAACCAGCTAAACCTATCCTTTCAGGGGAGAAACAACAGTGTTTTCTTGATGGCTGACAAAATTGAAGCATTCAAACGGAAGTTGGTATTGTGGGAGAAGAGAGTGCAGGAGAACATTTTTGACATGTTTCCTAACCTCACTGATGTTCTGCAGGAATTCCCTCACATCAGCACCGACATACAGAGAATTGTCCGGGAACACCTGACCAGATTAACACAGAAATTCTCTGATTATTTCCCCAACGACGAAGAGTTGGGAATGCGTGGATTCGCGATCCTTTTTCAGTAGATCCAAGTGATGTGGATGTTGTACTCCCCATTAATTTGCAAACACAGTTAGTGGAACTTGCATCTGACGGAAGCCTGCAGCTTGCTTTTCGCAAAACAGACCTGAGCTCATTCTGGATTCAAACCAGACACGAATATCCTGAACTCGCAGAACGTGCAACGAAGTTTCTCTTGCCATTTAGCACTACCTATCTTTGCGAATCAGGATTTTCAACAGTGACTGCAACGAAAACAAAAAGCAGGAATAGGCTGACAACAGCTAGTTTGTGTGCGACGCTACGAGTCGCAATTTCCCAAATTCCACCGCGTCTGGATATGATTATTTCAGAGCGGCAGTCCCAAGTGTCACATTAACTTGAGCAACAAAAAAATAATCTGTTTGCCTCATAGTCTTGTCTATTGAAAATGTTTCTGTGTTTTTGTGAAATTAATTATAATAAACATAGGCATACGGAGTAGTAGCCTATATATCTAAGAGGCATTTCAGTTAATGTTTACCTTATCCCAGGTATTGCCCTTCTATTTGCTTCTTTCTCTTTTATCTCCTTTTTTTCTTCTGTTTTAATTGTTTCTATTTCTCATATATTCTTTTTTTATTTTATTAATGGAATATGATGATGTGTTGACCTGCCAAGGGACTACAGATGGTAGCTTTTCTGCTAACTCTGGCGCATTTACATTTTGAGTGATGTCAATTGATGTGCATTGTCCCTTTTAAAAAAAAAAAAAAAAAAATTTGAATTATTTCCAGCCTTAGTGGGTCGTATGACTGGCATACGAAAAAAAAGTGGGTCGCAGTTGGCAAAAGGTTAAGAAACCCTGACACTAGAGGTCCTCTTTCCCCACGGTGTCATTCACCTTTGGAACTGCATTCCCCACAATCCTTGTCTGCGCTCATCACTGTTCATTGCACTCAGCTGTTCCCCATCTTGATTGTCATGTTCTTGGTGTATAAATACCCTGCCTGTTTAGTGTTTGTTACGGAGTCCTTGTTATTCGTCACACTACTTCTGAGTCCTGTGTTCTTGCCAGTTTTGTTCTGTTTTTCATGTATGGATTGCTTATTTGGATTGCGACCCTTACCTGGACTGTTGTGAGTACGGATTACCCTTGAATAAAGATACTGCTTTTGGATCTTCTGCTTCCTGTGTGTGGACACGTGACAGAAGGACTCTGTCGCTACAAGATCCAGCGGTAGGTGTTCTAATTTCTCTTCCCCAGCCACCGAGCGGGAGAGAGGTGAACTTTTTGAGGGTACCCGGTTGGTCATATTTCGCGGGACCCGTGGAGGCCGCAGTGGAGGTGGTGGTCGAGAGGAATCCCGACACCATTCTCCACTCAGGCCCCTCTTCGACCCTGGGCTGGTGATATCCAGCCCAGAGCTCCATCCGCCGCTGTTTCAGTCCAGCCCAGAGCATGCACATCACCATCAGAAACGGCAGAGGAGGAGGAAGACCTCCAGCCTCCCCAAGAGCCCGGAGGCCATGCCCCAGCAGCCCATTGTTTTTCCGGAGGCCGTACCAGAGACCGCTCACGTCACGTCTGCGGAGCCAGAGACTGCTCACGTCACGTCTGCCGAGCCAGAGACTGTTCACGTCCCGTCTGCCCAGTCAGAGACTGTTCATGTCACGTCTGCCCAGTCAGAGACGGTTCACGTCGCGCCTGCCCAGTCAGAGACTGTTCATGTCACGTCTGCCCAGTCAGAGACGGTTCACGTCGCGCCTGCCCAGACAAAGACGGCTCACGCCACGTCTGCCGAGCCAGAGACTGTTCACGTCCCGTCTGCCCAGTCAGAGACTGTTCATGTCACGTCTGCCCAGTCAGAGACGGTTCACGTCGCGCCTGCCCAGTCAGAGACTGTTCATGTCACGTCTGCCCAGTCAGAGACGGTTCACGTCGCGACTGCCCAGACAAAGACGGCTCACGCCACGTCTGCCCAGTTAGAGACGGATCAGGAGATGCCCATTCTCGTGGCCGCGAGGGCACTGACCGACTATTTGGAACATCTAGCTCAGTTCCTGGAGATGCCCTTGTCTGCTGTTCCTGAGCCGGAGCCAGTGTCTGCTGTTCCTGAGCCGGAGCCAGTGTCTGCTGTTCCTGAGCCGGAGCCAGTGCCGAAGCCAGTGTCATCTGTTCCAGAGCCGGAGCCAGTGTCTGCTGTTCCTGAGCCAGAGCCAGTGCCGGAGCCAGTGTCATCTCTTCCAGAGCCGGAGCCAGTGTTGTCTGTTCCAGAGCCAGAGCCAGTGTCGTCTGTTCCAGAGCCGGAGCCAGTGTCGTCTGTTCCAGAGCCGGAGCCAGTGTCGTCTGTTCCAGAGCCGGAGCCAGTGTCGTCTGTTCCAGAGCCGGAGCCAGTGTCGTCTGTTCCAGAGCCGGAGCCAGTGTCGTCTGTTCCAGAGCCGGAGCCAGTGTCGTCTGTTCCAGAGCCGGAGCCAGTGTCGTCTGTTCCAGAGCCGGAGCCAGTGTCGTCTGTTCCAGAGCCGGAGCCAGTGTCGTCTGTTCCAGAGCCGGAGCCAGTGTCGTCTGTTCCAGAGCCGGAGCCAGTGTCGTCTGTTCCAGAGCCGGAGCCAGTGTCGTCTGTTCCAGAGCCGGAGCCAGTGTCGTCTGTTCCAGAGCCGGAGCCAGTGTCGTCTGTTCCAGAGCCGGAGCCAGTGTCGTCTGTTCCAGAGCCGGAGCCAGTGTCGTCTGTTCCAGAGCCGGAGCCAGTGTCGTCTGTTCCAGAGCCGGAGCCAGTGTCGTCTGTTCCAGAGCCGAAGCCAGTGTCGTCTGTT